TCGGCGTCGATGGAGTCCCCGGTGAAGCCGGATAACGGTGTCTTGATCGGCCTCAGCAGAGCCCTGTCCAGCTTCAGCTGCTTGAAGGTGTCCAGGTACATCACGTTGACGGAGCTCCCCGTATCGATGTAAGTGCGGTGGATGATGGAGTCACCGATCTCACACCGGATGACGAGGGCGTCCCTGTGTGATTCCGTACCCGGAGGCAAATCCTTGTCGGTGAAGGTGATCGCCTCCGTTCGCTGCTTCTTCGGCTGGGGGGGGACGTGGGACACCTCCCCAATGTAGAGGGATTGGGCCCATTTTTTTCTCTGAGTGGCGGAGTCCCCCATAGTGTTCCCACCCACGATGATGTGAATGTGATTCTTCTTTGGCGGGGGCTCTTCGAAGTCTTCGTCATCGCTGAGCCTACCAATCTCCCGCTTCTTCGCAGAGGGTTCGCCCCCATGTTTGCCGGTGTTTACCCATGTGTTTTTGCGTGGGCCACCTTTAACAAACTGGGTGAGTTCCCCCTGGCGAATAAGACGCTCGATGGCCTTCTTCAGCGTGATGCAATCGTCGGTGTTGTGCGACGAGTTCTTGTGGAACCAGCAGTATGTGCCGCCCTGCTGGATGGCAAGGACCTCCTCGGCCGGCCGAGGAGCCTGCCCGATGAGGCCATGCTTCTCGGCATAGTCGAGGATGATGCCGACCGGGTGAGTGAGGGCAACCTCCGGCCGTTCCAACCTCGGCCGCCAGTGGCGATCTTTCTTACTCTGTCCACCAGAACCGTGACGGCCCTTGGCACCCTGGCCGGCCGGGGACGAACCCGGGGCCGGCGAAGGATTTGTCTTCTTGGAGGGATGACCCCCCTCCTTCTTGTGATTGTGGAGCTCGTCGACGTCGGCATACAAGCCTCCGCGCTGGAGCGCCTTGGCGTACGACCTCGGAGGGTCGGTGATAAGGCTCCTAGCGTACGGGGAGCTGCGGAGGGCTCCCTGATACAAGGCGAGGAGGGTGCGCTCATCGGCCCCCTCGACTTCCTCGGTTTCCCTCGTCCACCGATCAATGAATGACCAGAGGGATTCCTCGTGTTGCTGCTTGACGGAGAGGAGGTGGGTGAAATACTTCTTCGCACGCTTCCTCCCGGCAAAGTGGGTGAGGAAGCGTTGGGCGAGATCCTGCCATGAGTCGATGCTCCCTTCGGGGAGCGTGTTGAACCACTCGTACGCTGACCCCTCGAGAGTAGAGAGGAACCAACGGCAGAGGTATTCGTCGGACGCGTTCACCATCAGCATGTTGTTCTGATAGCGGCTGAAGTGTTCCTGGGGGTCTGATCGGCCGTCGTAGGACTTGATGGCGTTCCCCCTGTACTTCTCAGGGATGGGGGCCGAGAGACCCTGTTGGTGAAAGGGGTCCTGGTCCTGACCTGGATGATGGGGTCACCTCGCCCCTCGGCCAGCTCCCTCTCCAGGGCGCTGACCTTGTTCATGAGCGCGTTGAGGCCGGGGTCGTTGGAGGCGCCGGCCGTAGGGATGTTGGTCGACTGCTTGGCTTCCATCTGAGCCAGCCTCCTTTCCAGTTGGGCGATGACCTCATCTCGAGGGTCCCTGGCGGCCGCAGCGGCGCCCGGCTGGTTCCTCATGCGCTCGTCGTGGGCCGCATTGATCCGGTGGCGCACGTCGTCTTCGTGCAACTTCCCCTTTCCCTTGTCCGGGCGGGGCTGGTCCGCTGTCCGGGACACAGACCCCAAGCTTTCCCTCGGCGAGCCTGGACGAGGCTCACCAATCCGTCCCGTCATCCTCTCCGAAACCGGACGACGGCGCGTGTCACCTAGCCTGTTGAAGGCAGAGGCTTTTCCACGCGCTGGGGTCTGCCCGGGCCGAAGAGGGGAAGCAGGGTGGGAGTGGGACGATGCCGTGTCCTGGGCCACCACCCCCTCATCGTTGCCTACCTGGACGGCCAACGGTTGGGGCTGAGGAGGTTGAGTGACGTTCCCCCCGGTCCTTGGCAAGAGTGCGCTGAGGACGGTGGGGTTCTGAGCCAGGCTGGCGATTATGACCGACAGCGCGGCCTGGACCTGTGGATCCACGGACGGAGAGGCCGCGGCCATAGGCTGGGCCGGGGCGTGGTCCGTCTTCTCAGCTCGTTTCTTATCCAAGCCGATGCGGGCATCAGGGGCTCCGTCGTTGAGTTGGTTGCGGAGGTCCGTCGTGAGGTTGAAGGCCTCCTGGAAAACGTCCCCTCCACCGACCTGGTCGGCCGTGGCGTCCTCATCGTGCTCCCTGGGCTCTTGGTCCTCAGGGATGGCCTTGCTGACGAGGTTGCGGTTTGATTTAGTTCTTCCCATGATCGGTGGTTAGCTGTGCTTGGTAGCGACGAAGGGTGCTAACTTGATTGTTCTAGCTCTCAATGAAAGCACCAAATGATAGAGTATATCTAGAGAGAAGTGAGAGCTAGAGAGAGAAGTGTCATGTATGCTTCAATAGAATGAATTTGTAACCCCTATAACTACTCCCAAGGGGAGTATTTATAGAGAAAATACGGGCTGGGCTCCCAAGCCTTGGGCTTGGGAGGCCCATTTACAACTGGACCGCTACTGGGCCGAATACAAAGCCACTAATGGGCTGTACAAATGAGTAAGTATAGAATCTGGTTCTGCGAGGTCTTCGTGGCCGACGAGGGCGTGGCCGACGAGGGCACGGCCGACGAGGGCACCCGGGTTCCTTGGCTTCAGGACCATAATCTGAGTTGGCACCTCTTCGGCCGACAGGGGTCCCTTGGCCGACGAGGGCGTCACTCGGTGTTTTGTGCTTTCTCTTCTTCTGAGTATGTGGGTCCAGGAGCTCAGACCCATATACTCCATCAGTTAGGATGGAAGAACCGATGATAATGGGTCTTGGTGGGGAGGGTTGGGTCTGGGAAAAGATATCCATGAACCGTTAGATTTCTTGAATAGTGGATCTGGGCTGATGGTTTTCCCATCAGATGGTAGTACAGAGATTTACGGCTTTTGGTGTTATAACTGCTCCAATTCGACTTGCTTCCATTTTTTGTTCTTATCGTCACCAAGAAGGCCTTTCCATCATTTTCATTTTCAATGGAACCAAAGATTCACTATTGTTTGGCTTGAGAAAATGATGGAGTAAAGCAAAATGGCTCACATCCGATCCTCCTATCCCATTATAGGTGGGAGCCAAGAAAGCCAGAAGAGAAAATGTGTACTAACTATATATCCCAACGGATGGATTTTTACCATTCAAATCTGTTATTAGTCTATCCTTCCTATGTTGGCTGTCCTGCGGCTACCATGGCTGGGAAAGGAAAAACACAAGTGAAATTTATGGTTGAGATGTTGTGCGTGTATCTATACAACAGTACAGGGCTTTAAAGTAAAATACTGATTCTGACTAAAATAAAGTAAAATACTGATTCTGACTAAAATAACGGAATTATTATATCCTCCTTTTCAATATCTGGTTTTAATATAAAAGAAAGTCAAAATTATTCTTGATCCATTCCCATGTGCGAAAAATACATGCAAAAATCAATCTAAACACTTCAATTAATCACAAATTACTTAAAAATGTAAACTTTGACACTAATTTCTATCATTTACAAAAATGCAATAAAAATGTTTTAATTTTCTCGTAATTTAACAACTATAAAAGTAAGTGAAACTTATAAAATACGGAGAATGTTACAAAAGTGATAGCATTGATAATGAACAAAATAATGTTCAACAAATCCTGTGGTTTATGCTCGTTAAGTATTCATCAATATTGTTTGAACTGTGAATATGTTAGACTTGCTTCATGTAAGTTCAAATCAAGTATTACCATGGTTCTAAAAATCAGCCTAGGCGCCCGCCTAGGCGCCACCTAGTCACTAGGCGGTGGTCGGGCGTCCCGATTTCGCACTAATCGGTGGGAAAAATCGTTTCGGGGCCTAGGCGGGCGCCTAGTCGGCTAGGCGAGCGCCTAGTCGGCTAGGCGAGCGCCTAGTCGGGCTAGGCAATGGCCAGGCAGCCTGGAATAAAATCTTTCCTGAACCAACGTTTTTTCCCGTTTTATCTTTAAACATCATGTGATCAAGAAGTATTCTATTCTTATATAATTTATTTTCATATTCTCACAATAAAAAAATAATTTTTAAATATAAATGATCCTTTTAGAATGTATTTTAAGGTTTTAAGAGAGTAAAAAACACAAATATCTTAATTTATTTATTAATTATTTTATTATTGATGATTTAACTATAAAAAAACTTAACATCTAATGATTATATGAGCTATTTCTATTTTCAAAATATTATAAAATTATTATTAATATAATTAAAATTCAAAGGAAATAAAAAGAAAACAAAAACCAATGGAAAAATACCTAGGCGCCCTAGTCGGCGCCTAGACGGGCTAGGCGCTATGCGACCAGTCACCGCCCAACTAGCGCCTAGCGCCTTTTAGAACACTGAGTATTACTAATACGTTTAGTACAACAATAACATCCAAACCTTAGTTACAAAATATTTTGGGGTTGGCAAAACACGGAGAGTGATCATTTTCTCAAATATTAATCTTTGATACTCCCTGTTATTCAACTATTTAGAGTGAGTTGGTCCAGATTAGTAAACAAGCAATCACAAACTCCCATAATCCTTGGTAAACAATCCAGATTCCAAATTAGAACTAAACTCATTTGTTCATACTTCATAGAAATGGACTCAATTCTGAAGCCACATTGAATCTGTGCGAGAAAACACAAAACCGGACACCCTTCTAGTTTCTGGACCAGAAGTAGCACCTATCTAAAAGAGTAAAAGCTACTGAGGTTCAGATCAGACCCCCCCCCCCCCCCCCCCCCCCCCCAAACCCAACTAAGGTTCAGATTCCCCCTTCACCTTAGATAAAACCAACTGGGCCCAGCCCTAGTCATTCGGTTACAAAAGTCCTACTCCGGGTGAGCAAATTTGGCTATAAAAAACAATAAATTGTGAAGAAAAACCTATTATCACTAGGATATTTAAATCCAATGTACACAAATATATGAGTCTATTATTTTAAATGTTCTTCGCATGTATACTGTTGTAACTGAATACACAGTAAGAAGTAATAACATTTAACTGATTGAGAATTGTTAATGTACAAGAAACTAAGAAAGGGTAAAACACAAACATACAGATACATATGTTAGAAGTTCTGATTTGTCTTCACAAAAAAAGAATCAATAGGAATACATTTAACGGACGTCGGGTATACTTTCTTCTTCTTTCTCTGCGCACCATGATTCCATGTATCCCCATTCTGTAACGACCTATATTACAGTAAACTTTGTGATTTTTGGGAGTATTATCTCTGCTTCAAGGTGAAAACAAAAGATAGGAAACTAATAGGTACCTTCGCTGAGGTGTCAACAATTTATAATTGTCACTAAATTGCTCATCTTGCAGTCTTTGAGCAAGATGAAAGTCGGAGTGCTCTTGCCTCTCCTCAACGAAACTGGGTGGCAATTCAACCCCACATAGTGAGCATTTATATCCGTCCAACCAAACAAGTATCAACTCCTTAAAATGGTCTGAGCAGTGCTCCGTTCCATCATATAAGTGGTCAGCGCCCTCCAACGGTTCAGAAAAGGTTAACTTTTTCAATGACCCGGAAGATGAGTTGTTTGCATCAATTGCTTCATACACCTGAAAAATAGAATTGTTATCATGTAAACGGAAATTTAAAAAATAACTACTCCCGCAGGTTCAGTTTTGTTTTGGTCTTTTGGATTAAAACTTTTATCATACAATGTGTTTATATAAACAAGACAATATTTAATGCCATTTTTTCATTTTTACAGATTTAATGGCTCATTAATCTGCATAATTTCTTTCAAAGAGAGGGAGTATTCAATTTACTGATCAGGGTGAGTAATGCAGGCTAAAATGCATACATTGACTTCAACAGCATCACGCTGAGGCTCAAGGCTTTTCTGCCGTGATTTGCTATAATTGTTGTGAATAGAGGATTTAAAATCCCAAGATACTTCACTGCTTTTTGTAGGAGAGTCATAGCATATGTCATATGTGAAGGCAGTCTCACTAGTATCAGAACTCAAAGGCATGTGCGCCTCTCTTCTAGCAGCTTCTTGAACAACAAAGTTGGACAGCGTTCTCTGTGTGGGATCAGAAAGGTTGACATTCTCTTCCATAAACTGAGAAATACGGAGTCCTTTATTGAAAATAAAATATTGAAATAGTTGGTCAAACTCACCTTGGAACAATTCAAAGAAGTGGAATAATCTAAATGGCGAAAGAACACAAATGATAAGGAGAACTAATCAAGTGTTGTTCTGTGAAATGCAACAGACTAAATGATATATCACAAACATGTTATGAGAATTATTGAGCCTCGTAGTTCCATCTTAAAAAGTCAACATGATATGAGGAGCATTTCAAAACTTTGTGGGATGCTTTGTTCATTTATATTCGTTCAAAATGAGATGACTTAAGATGCCACCATTTTGTCGAACAGTCTGAGTGCTGGTTTTTAAGCTAATTTGAGTCATCTCTTTGATACCCTATTGAGACTTATAGTTCTATACTAAAAGGTTAACATAAGACGTTACATTTCCCTTTTATTTTATATTTATTCGAGGTGGAATAATTAAAAAATATGCATAGGAGAAAGCCAGCTCACTAAACTGTATGTGCCATGCAATTTTCGACCATGCAGTCAGACCATGCAATTTTCGACGCGATTTTCACTATGGGTCATCCCAAACAGTCTCTTTGTGCTTTAGTACAGGGGCAAGACTGCATATATCCGACACTTCCTTACCCCACCATAGACGGGAGCCTTTGCGGCACTGGAGTAATGATGATGAGGAGAGGAGGAGAAAGCCAGCCTACCTATAAGTCGTAAGGGTACAGGTAGCTCAGCTTTCAGCAGCTTTGAAGCATGTGTTAATATATCCTGACTTGAGCTTATGTACTTTGTCAAAGTCACTGCCCTAGTCCGCACCTGAGAATTACCATTATAAACAAACAAATTAACAGCTTATAGAGTATTTTATATGAAGCCAAATTCTTCTTTCTTCTGGTAAATAATCAATCACAAATTGATTATAAAACCACTGCATCTTTAATATGAAATACTCCAAAAGATACCTCAAAAGATGCAGTTTTCAGCTTCAGTGTCAATGTCCGTCCACAAAGGCCTTCTTGTTCCATATCTGCTGAAAGCATCTCTGCAATATCGACTACAAAACAAAACAAAAAATACATACCAATAAATACATTTATGTTCCATATCTCTCACCATGAATTTAGAGACAGGCCCTTATATTTAGATATGAAATATACGCGCACCTAACTTTTTATAAAGAAATGTCTCATCCCCGGTAGCTGAAAATGTTCTCTCATTACTCATACTCTTCCGCATCTTTGTTTGAGGCGAATCGGTCTCACCGAGTCCTAGACCGACCGACAAGAAGAAGTCTACAATACAATGCATAAGAAAAAAAAAATAGTGTGAGCATCATAATGTGAAGTTTCAAGTAGAAAACGAGCATCATAAACTTAACTTGAAACATGAAAGGCCAATATGATAAATTTAGATCCATATATACTGGGTTCTACCCTATTCATGTTAGCCGACTCCAAAATCTTTTGGGACTAAGGCTTGGATGTTGTTGTATACTGGGTTCTGTCATTGAATAACTATTGCAGATGATAAATTTCCAAATGAATTCGCTTTATAGGGAAATGACCTGCTGAGGAACGAGAAAATAGTGCACATAGAAGTTTGCCTTTCTGCAACAAACCCTCACATGTTGTTATTCCAAAAATTTCCTTTAAGATGTTTTCAGTAACCTTACCAATGCCACCAATCTGTAAAAAGGTTTTACAAGCCAGAGAATAAGTGATTTAACAGAAAATATAGGTTTCTTCAAAAACCTAACAGCCAAATCAACCTGCTATAAGTATAAACTATACAATAGTACCTTCCTAATAGGAAGCGTGGAGATAAACGTCATAATAGCATTACGATCATTAGGCAAAACAAATTGTCCATTAGGTTTGTTGATATCCGAAGAAACCTGGCAACAGAAAGACATTCAGCTGCAAGACAAATTGATGTACTTAAATGTTGATTGTAGACAAAGAAAATGCACTGTGGGTCCATAGCTGCCCCCCCCCCCCCCCCCCCCCCATGAAAGCTAACACCTTAGCAAGTAAGCGATTTGGAGCTACACCCGCACTACAAGTGAGGCCGGTCTCATTGTAAACACTTTTCCTGAGCTCTTCAGCCACCTAATAATGAAAGTACCACAACCACAACAAAGATCTGCAATGAAACTCACTCTCACATAATACAAAAAAAAAACATATTAACTGGAGTTAAGGTGAGGTTTGAGATTTAAATAGGAAATTATGTGGATTCAAACATAGTAGAGTTTGTTTTAAACCTACCTCTTCACCTGTAATTCCCCTATCTCTGCAAATCTTTGTTATATCCAGGTATGCCTCATCCAGACTTGTCGTTAAGAAGTTAGGATCATATTTCTGGAAGACTATGAGATGAATTTCATATATTACAAAACATACGCAAATCAAAATTAGACATGAAAATGGGGCCTTGTAAACAAAAAGCAACTGACTCTGTCTTGTCAATCCACTGTAATGATTGTACTTTTTGAAGTCCGTAGGTACAAATATCAACCCTGGACATAATTTACGAGCAATAAAGCCAGGCATTGCAGCCCGAACCCCAAACTTGCGAGCCTGCCACAGTAATAACCAGCAAATCAAAATCTTGAAAGTTTATAAGCAATAATATTGGTTAAAAGTTTAAATAATCCAATAGTCTTCCACTCATGCAAAAGGTTGAAATTAGAGCCAGTTCCAACTTCCAAAGTGAGGATGAATATGCTAAAGTTTCTGAGAGTAAAAGTATGGTCAAACCCATTTCAGCCAAATAAGTAGGTCAAAAACTAATTATGCTGCTTAGTTCTTACTTTGGTAACTTTGCAAATAAGAAGAATATGCAACATTTGACTTCTTGAGTACGAAACATGAGCTTACTCTCTCTTCTACGGAGTATTATATTTGTCAATTCAGTTCTCACACTACTAAATATGAGCAATTATTTATTTAACAAAAGTAAAATGACTAACATATGTCTATGTGACTATGTGTAAGAAGCTTCCTTATGTGTGATGATATATTAAGTACTTAATACTAGATTACTAGTAATATAATAGGTCGTATATAACAATGTATGGGGTTTTGATGTGCATCTCAAACCTCATAATTAGCAGTAGAGATCATTGACAAGCTGCCAACAGCCACTGGCTTTCCTTCTAATGAAGGATCACTCAATGTTTCAACAGCTGCATAAAAAGCATCCATATCTACATGTATCCAAATCCTTGACAAATCACGTGTGGCTTCAAGCTCTAATATCCTTTTCTCAGCAAGCTGTAAACTCCATAAATCATACTATCGTACCTAATGAATAGATTAATGACTTCAAAGTAAAAACCTTTGAGCATTAATATACCTTCTCGTAGTGAGATGCATCAGCCTTAGTGAGTTTCAAACACTGGGAACGCATGCTTTCGATTCTCTGCTTCATATGAGCCTCCTTGCGCTCCTCGTTCTGGTAATACTTAGATCCTTTGCTCATTTCATACACTATTCTCTGCACTTTTTCCTTGTCCACCCCTTCCATGCCTACAATTCCAGCCCCACATATGTTTGTAAAAATAGAAGAACCCCCCCCCCCCCCCCCCAAAAAAAAAAGAGCTAGAATTGTCAATTGAACAACCTCAAATAAAAAAATAAAAAAAAGATATACAAATTCAGTACGACAATTTAAAATAAAGGAACAATACCAGCTTTTGCATTGGTATAAACAGTGTGGTAAGATTGCCACGGCCGAGAGGAAGAGGCAGACGGATCTTCGCTGGAGACCGTGATTTCAGTTTTTGTCATTATGGGGATTTTGAGTCAGGAATCTACTGTTTGGTGAGCACTCTGCAGAGAATCACTCGACAAATAAAAATAGAGAGGGAAATGGGAAATGCAGAAATACTATGTTTAAAAAACAGTCCTGGGCACGGCAGGTCAACCCGGATACCAGTGACCCGGATCAGCTGGGTCAACCTGGAAACTGGTGAGCCGGATCGATTCGAAAAAATCCGGTTTCAGAGATTTTTTTTTTGGGGGGGGGGGGGGCCTGGGAGTCGGGGGAGGGGGTTAGGGGGAGAGGGAATACAAGAGCTCAAACTGCTCCCGGCGGGAATTGAAGTATTGAACTCCTAACCTCCAGGATAACCGGGTGACTCCACAACCAACTAAGCTAGTTGCTTCGTCTTTCAAATTTTTTTTTTAAGCATTTTTTTAACTAATAAAATTGCAACTTCAATACCCTAAATGGAAAAAATATGTATAGAGAAAATTATCATAAATACGACCTATACTCCCTCTCTTTCCCAATCTATGACCTTATTAGTTTTTTCCCAAAACAAATACCTATCCGTTGAGTGTTGACATTTAAAGAAAACTTTTAATAAATCTATCTATATATAATTAATCCATTTAAGTGTCCCGCCTATACTAATAAGCTGAGACTCGGGGTCGTTTGTGTCAATTTACCTTCTTTGGAGAACTCGATCTTCTTCCCCCTTGCCAAAAAAACTGGATCATATGTGCAACGGCCGTTGTTCCATTCCTATTTTTAATCATTTCTCATAAAATTTTGATGCTTCATCCACGCATAAGAGGATAAAAGCTCTCTCTAATTGTTAAAGCAGACCAAATCTCTCTCAAATCCTCTGCACGAGTCACACACTATAATTATACAAGTCTCTGTTTACAACGCAAAGGCATCCAGTAATTGTTGATTGCTTGGTTAGTATGCTGATCTAAGTCCATTTCTTCTAATAAAAATATTGTACTATGGTTCTTCAATGACTATCTAGGTTTAATATTTTCACGTTCCAATTTGTAGTATATATTGCTTGGTCTTTGTATGTTTATATTTTTTTACTCGAATTTCTTACAAGAATCTTAAAAAAATGAATGAAAAGCTTACCTTTTCTTGTAGCTTTGGGTAATTGGGTTGCAAGAAATTTTCTCAACATGTGATATCTTTATTTATAAAAAATTAAATTCATATTTGTAAATTGATTCAGAAAATAAAATATCATTTCCGAGCTCCATCTAGCCATAGAACAGTGATATATGAAATGATACATCTCAACTTTCCTCTCATTAGTTTCCTCTCTTCTTGGTCTAAGATTTTAGAAAATAGTGATGACAGAGTATTATGGGCTGTTTTACATTCGTACCTACTCCATATATTTAACCACACATATGACAATGACAGATCTTTGTTTTATAAATGACTTTACCAATAAAATATAAATAATCATTCCTTTTAATTAGCAAAAAAGGTTTATGAAGATAAGTCTCTTTTTTCTACATTTTGTTGAAGAAATTGTAAACTCTAACTTTCATAATGCAATAAAAGTATTATGATCTGAGGGATAAGCTAAAATGACCAATAAGAAAAATATATTAAATGATTATTGTTGATACCCAACCAGAGACGTAGCCAGGATGAAAATTTAGGCGGGGGGGGGGGGGGGGGGGGGGGGGGGGGGGGGGGGGGGGGATTCCAAGAAAAAACTGTATTTAAAAATTTGAATAAATAAAATCCGTTTTTCCATTTTCATTTCTTTTCTTTAAGGGCCAATGACTTAGTTTTTCCTGTTTTCGTGGATCTGCTCATTTTCAACCGCATTCAAAATAAATTCCTCTTAAACCGACGAAATATTTGGAGTATCAATCAAGTCATTCAGCTCGTCATTTTTCTGTACTTGTCTTAAGCTTAAAAAACTAATGCAATGTTAGTTTTACATTTTTAGAAGTAGATTGTGTAGCCATACCTACTTAAATCGATGAAAGTTAAAGAAATATTCAACATATTATTTTCAATCACATAATTCATCTTATTACAAATTATACAATAGTATGTTAAGAATTTTAGTACTAGTAATTAACCATCCCTAATTTCAAATTTCAAAATGATAACACACCGTTAATAACTTAATAAAAAAATCCACAATGAATTCACACTTTACAAAATCGTACTACTATATTAGTAAGACAGTGAAATTCAAAACATTAGATGAATTTGATGAATATATTACAAATTAAAAAGATTATGTAGTTCAGCTAAAATAAAAAATGCAAAAAACTTACCTAGGGGTTAGGGCAGTGATGGTCGCCGTTCAGCGTCCTGGGCGGGTGGGTGGGCAGGCAGTGGGAAGCCTCAAGCGGCGGTGGGCGGTGGGCTGGGGACTCGCGGAGAGGCGGAGCAGGGAGCTGGGCATCCAACGGACGCGCGGCAGGGAGGCGCGAAACAGAGTTGCCAATATCTTATGCTCTTATCTGTACGTTTAGCGGTTTGGATATTGATTTACTACGTACAGTATGTTTTATTTTGAACTTTTAAAATCCTTTAGGATTATTGATATAGTGGGTTTGGCCTATTTCAACAACGTATGGATATCAGGGATTCAGGGCAAGGGTTATTATGTTACTGCCTTCTTTATGGTTTGGGCACTGGGCCCTATGTTTAACAAATTGGACCCGAAGGCAAAAGCGACCCGGCCACATGACTCATGGGTCAACCCGGTCAACGTCGGAAAACCGATCAACGATTATATGTCCATATAATAATAAACATATAATTATATACAACATTATAATAAAAAGTAGTTATTATTTATAATAATCAACTAAGGATAATACTTATTAAGCATTTAATACACTCTCATGATATTCCAAAGTATAATTTGGTCCTATTAAAATATATAATGATATTTTTTAGGAAAATTGCCCAAAATAGGAGCGAATGAGATTTGAAATTCCAAAATAGGACTAGTATGTTTTTCTTCCTGAAAAAGGAGTTGTTACCGTCCTGTATGAAAAATAATGTCATGATTGAAAAATATTGTCATTGATTCTAATAAATACTGTCATGTTAAATGCATTGTACTGCAACTATTTGGCAGTTGCACCTACAACATGACAGTAAATATTGTTGTTGGGGACTATTACCCCACCCCCCAATACTGTTCAGAGGCCCAAGGCATCGCCCAGTACGGAGCCCAGTCGGCGAGACCCATTTACGCCCTTCGGGCCCATTGAGAGCCATTTAGGCTAGCTCGCTCGGCATGTCTGGCCCATATCAGCCCGTTAAGGCCCATCCGGCCCATTAGGCTAGAAAGCCCCCACCCACCTTCTCTAAACAGGAAACCAAGCTTCCATGTAAAAGGATCTGATTTTTAGTTTCTTCACTCCTAGGAGGGCTCTCCTCCCTGGAACTACTTCTTCTCCTTAGAGGATTAGCAACCAAGCTCCATTAATGGAGTTCCAAGTTATTTGTATTATGTAAATGGTGAGGAGAATTTTAATGAGAAAGAGGGGGCTTGGATGTTAGCCTAAAAAGTCTCGCGGTTTCTCCCTTTCCGGGTTTCCACATAAAAATAGAGCATTTCATACATATTATATCTATATTTAATAGTTTATGTTGGATAAAATACAACAAGTGTAATGTTAGTCCCATTTCGGGAATAAAACAATAGTAGCCTATTTTGGAATTTCAAACTCCATTTACTCCTATTTTGGGAAATCTCCCTATTTTTTATTTGTATTGTACATCTATAATATAATTTGACATGATTTTCATTCCTAAATAAATATATAAATATATTACATATTTTTTCTTTTTACGATATTCCCAAAACCGAGTTTTCCCAGGTTTTTGGGTCTGGGTCCGGACCGGGTTTTCCCGGGTCAACTGGGTTTTTCCGGATTTTTTATCATTTCCGGGTTTGGAACTAACCAACCCGGGGTTTTGTCCGGGTTGCTGGGTTCCGGGTCAACCCAGCCAGGTCAGGTCGGGTTTTTAAACTTAGAGTGGGCCAACTTTTTAGTTTTACTACGGTCACATAGATCTTTTTTAGGAAAATATGTCAAATAGATCTTTCTATTATATCAAAAAGGGCAACTAGGCCTCCAAACTCAGAAAACTCCCAATTACATCCACGAACTATACAAAAACATTCAGATTTATAATTTAGCCCTTTAACGTTCGGTTAACCGGTTACGACGATGACATGGTGGTCCACATGTTATTTTTTAACTTTTTTCCTTTACCACTTCCTTCTCCTTCACCTTTTTGCTTTAGTATTAAGCAAATCAAGAGCTCTAGGTTCCTTCTAACAATCCTCTTTGATTAATCTGGGGTTTCCTTCTAGCATCCAAAGACCACTCTCTTGATTTTCTCTTCTCCATTAAATAACAAATTTTATCAAAACTCTTAACAATTTTATTAAACATTGTTGACAAGCTTGCGATAACCTCTCTGTGGCAATTAGGTTCCTTTGTTCTTCTATTATTCTCAAAATCGTTTATACCCCCCCCCCCCCCTCCTCTATTGTGTTGATGAAGGTGGATCCTCTATATCCATATCTCCATCTTGTGAAAGATATTTCGAGTCCTCCTTTAGTGGGATGACACATTTTCGCTCGATATGAACATGTTAGTATTTGGATAAAAAAAATAATCCATCAATGTCACCAACTCCACCAGATTTATCATCTACTCCTAACACTATAGCATCTATATTTTTACCCAAGACCAATTGCACCTATCCCAGTTATAGTTCCATTCCCCACTGCGATTCTCAAATTCTCTTAGTTCGAAAAAGTTTCTGACCGAAGGTGTGCATGTTCTGGATGCAACTGATATACAAAAAATATAAATTTTGTGATTGTGATGTTATAAAATAGACACACATATGAATAGAAAAATGTCCATATTCAGGTAGTCCGTTAATACATCTTTAGGAGCTGTGAATATCTTTGTGGCCGCATCCCATCCAAATGTGATGAATAAGTTGAGAGTAATTGCAGTATTGTTTTTTAAACCATTTCACCCTACTTTGGTAATGAATAAAACTAATTCCATAACCAAGTTTTTCCTTAAGTTTAGGAAGGAGTATGGTCTCTGCCGTTTGATATTAAGTTTTATAATCCTTTTTTGATATCACTCTCTTCTACGGTCCAAGTTTTATAATCCTTTTTTGATATTACCTTGTGACTCGCCCATCTATAAAACATGTAAAACTAATCAAAATCCATGGGCTTCTAAATTTTCCCACTAAATCTCAATACAATACACACCTTATTAGAAGTTGTTCTCTTCACCTGATCTGAATGTTTCTGATCTGAATTTTTTAAGTTCTGATCTGATATGATCTGAATTTTTCTGATCTAATGTGATCTGATTTGAATCTTTCTGATCTGTTCTGAATCCTTCTGATCTGATTTAAATCTTTCTGACCACATTTGATTTGAATATTTCTATAATTATAATTATAAATATAATTATTATAACTATAATTATAATTATAAATATAACTCAAATGTAATTATAATTATAACCATAATTATAAAATTCATAATTATAATTATAATCATAATTGTAATTAAATTAAAATTATAATAATTATACCTATTACACTAATTATAATTATAACTATATTTTTATAACTATAATTATATTTCTAATTATAACTATATTTATAACTATAATTATATTTCTAATTATAATTAGTTCCATAATTATAATTATAATCATAATTACTCCGTATAATAATAATACTAACAATAATAATAATAATAATAATAATAGTAATAATGGTAATAATAGTAATAATAATAACAACAACAACATAAATAATAATAATAATAATGATGATAATAATAATAATAATATTAATATTATTATTATTATTATTATTATTAATATCAATAATAATATCAATAATAATATTATCAATAATAATAATAAGAAGAAGAACAATAGTAATCATAATAATCATAATAATTATAATCATAATATTCATAATAATAATAACCATAATGGTATTGTTGTTGTTGTTGTTAATACTACTATAATACTACTAATCATAATAGTCATAATAATAATAATAATGATGATGATGATGATGATGATGATGATGATATAATAATAATAATAATAATAATATAATAATAATAATAATAATAATAATAATAATAATAATAATTACAATTATTATTATAATAAAAGTGACAAATCATGTTTGAAATTTTCTGATCTGATTTGATATGAATGTTTCTGGTCTGATTTGAATGTTTCTGATCTTGTATGATCTGATCTGATCTGAATGCTTTTGATTTGATCGGATCTGATATGAATCTTTCTGATCAGATCTGAATTTTTCTGATCTGATATGATTTGATCTAAATAAAATAAAAATAAGCTTAGTAATAAGAATAAGACGAATAGAATAGATTCTTAGTAAATGTTTCTCAAACAAGAGCAAATGAGTTGTACTTGATCAAGAAAATAATAGAACTTGTGAATTTTATGAATTTTCTAATCCTATATTGAGTTTTATTCTTAGGGCATCCACATCCATGAAATTATTTGGAGATCATCTTGATGATGTGGAAGATTTTTTTGAAGATTATGGTTGAGGAGGTGAGATTATTATGAAAAGTTGTTTTGATAAAAATTCTGGTATCAAATATTGAGTCCTAAATTATTTAAGATTATTCTCAAATTTCAATAAACACATTTAATGTAACCAATGTTCTAAAAGGCGCTAGGCGCTACTCGGGCGCTAGCCAAACGCCTAGCGCCTAGGAGGCTAGGCGGGCGGCTAGGCGGGGACTAGTCGGCGACATAGAAATTGTATTTTTATCTATTTTTTTCATAAATATTATAAATAATATTGTATTTTTGTGTGTATAAAATACATATATACATATACATTAACAAACATGAATGATAGAACTATCACATGTAATCATACATAGTATATAATATCTAATCAGTTAACTTCGTTATGTTATAAATATAAATAATGATAAAATTTAGGTATATATAAATACATATCCATGGCTAAAGTTGAAATACGTATAATGCTTAGACAATTAAAATTAAAAAGTAAAGTAATGTTCGGCGAATTTAGACGACCTAGGCGGGCTATTAGGCGCTCTAGGCGAGCGATTAGGCGCCATAGACGGCTGACTAATTCACTTAGACGGCTAACCAATTAGTCGGAGCGTCTAGACGAAAATCGGGGCGCTCGGCCACCGCCTAGCGCCTAGGCGGGGACTGGTCAGAGGACTCGGACGCCTAGAACGATTTGTAGAACAGAGAATGTAACCATGTCTTTTAATTTGAAATGACTAAAATACCTCCTTGGAAATAACAAAAAACTTCTTAAAAAACTAAATGAATATAGATATGGTTGAGGGGGAAGGGAGCGGATCAGGTGAGAAGTGCTCTTAGGCTGAGAACTGCGAAGTTTAACTAATAGACTAAAAACACGAACTTTTAACCAATAAATCATAACTTATAGACCCCGTCGAAAATAATTACGAAAATGTCACCGCAAAAAAATAAGCCTGGAAACCTTGAAATTTTTTGGATGCGGTGTCATTTTCGTAATTATGATGGAGAGCTTTATAAGTTATGATTTATTGATTATAAGTTCATATATTCAGTCTATAAGTTTACTGCGTTGCAAGATCACATGCAAATCCAAAGATTGAGATTACTTCTCAATTTATCTCATTTTAAGGGGCCTTCTCACTTGATCATATTAGTAATTATTGATTTAAGAAATGCATAAAATCGAATATTTAAGGATGGTGGATGCAGATGCTCCTATAATATTGGGAGTTTGAATTGAATAGACTCATATGCAAAATATCTCCATATCTCCAAGTCCACCATTGAAGAGAGGAAGAAGTATGAAAAAGTAATTACAGTAACATACCATAATTCACGAAGCACATTTCAATGCTTATTGGACAAGCCTTTCAAAATAGGGGGAAAACATATATAGCTCTTCTTCACCAACAAAAAAATCACATCACTCTCACACACCACAAGCCAACGCACAAAAGCAGAGTTATCTCTTACGATGAAGGCTTGTAGTAAGGTAAAATGGAGTAGACGGTCTGGGCGATGGTGAGCGCGAAAAGCAAAATGGCTGCAATGACGGACAGTATCGCCCATGGGTTCTGGAAGTAGGTATGGATCAGATTCGCCCGCCACTGGTTCCACGGTATCTTGCAATACTCACTCACCGCATTCTGAATCACATCCAGGCTGCTCTGCGGATCCATAGTGATGTCTCTCGACAGCGAATTGAACAGCTTCGCCACCGCCTTATCGCTTCCGATGGCGTTCTGGAGCACTCCCGAAGCGTGGAGAAGGCTCACGTCCTTGCTGCTATCGATTATCGTGTCCATGAAGAATATGTACGCGGTGATCTCGTTCCCCGCCCCCACGTGAGATCGCTCGAACGCCATTAGGTTTAGGAACATCGATTCGCTGGTGTCGTCCAGTGTGATGAGAGGGAGCCGCAGAACGCCGCCGCGGAATGAGATGTCCGTCAGGCTCCGCGTTTTGTTCTTCTTGATTCGGATCCCGGCCTCGTATAGCTCGATTGCGGATCGGACGATCTGGCCGTCTCCGCCGCCGCCGCTTCTGGATGAGACGGTGGTGGTTTTGCGGCGGAGATGGGCCGCTCGCTGCGCTCCTCTCATTTTATTCAGTTGCTGGTGTCTCTTGTGGGCGTACTTGGCTGGTTCCCAGAGCAGATTCTTACGGTACAGATCAAGTACGTGCAGGCATTTCCCAAACTTTTTATGTCGTGAGTCTGGACTCCATATTTGGATTATGAGGTTGTTGATGGAGTCCACGTCCTTCTCGTCCAGAACGCCGTCATACTCCTGCAAAAGTCATAGTCAATGGCTGAATGCTGGCATGAGGGTGCATCCCCTATTCCACGCATATAATACATACATACAACAAACTAATGGTACGCTGCTGCTCTCTAGAGACAACAATGACAAAAGTTCTCAAATTTACTCCAACAATTTTTTACTAATTTCTTTTCTCACCTGAGCTACATTTCAGAAAATTTCACAATTTCCTAAACTGCTCTTCCTCTTCATGTATTTATCATTATCCCAATTCTGTACTTAGTGATTACGTGCGTGATTATTGAGACCATTTACTCAGGTTTAATGAATGGTTACTTGTTCTTGTATTTATAGAATTACAGATGTACGGAGTATATGCTATAGATTTTCAATAAAAGTGATACGTAGTACTACATAATACGTAGTATAAAGGTAAAAAATTCCACAATGTTCTGCATTATTCATAATGCATTTAAAATTTAAAGCATTTTAAGAAGATTCCAATACTTAATCAATCTTAACTTCTTATATCATAATTTAATCATTGTTTAATTAACATTATCTCCATGTCAACACAGAGAGAATTTGTACTTTCATGAACCATCAAATCTATGGAAGTATATTTATTGAATTGACAGGCTTTGGTTCTTTCTAATCTTATAAGTACCCAATTTTTACAATAAAATTTAACTATGATTTAGTTAATCGTGGAGTTGCAAAAATAGAAGAGTGACAATTGTTTTTTTGGATCAGACATATTAGGTGGTAGACAACTCAATAAGGGTGGAGTGCTAGATAGTAGCATTTGACAGTAGCAACTGCAGTAATCAGAGACTATGCAGGTATTAGCAGTGGTTCTACTGATAAGCTTAATGTTACTTCATAGAGCTGATACTGTCTTTACTTTTGTAGAAAATATTGAGTGACATTTCTTTTTTTTTCATTTAGTTGTATAACACATTTGTAATTATCCATTCTTACAACGAGGAATCACAATAAATATGATACTAGGTTGAAGGAAAGCAAGTTTTTAGAAGTTTGTTTTGTCATAAATTCATAATATATAAAGACTTCTTGACACACCCTCTGCCCCTCTTACACTCAACATTCTCTATTTTTGTTTTGAATTCCCTGAATTGCAATGGGGTGCACTGTTTGTCATGAATTTGGTACTTTAGGCTCAAACTACCATTTGAACCTTTTTAGCACACAAAAATGCATCATCATGGATCATATATTATAGGGCGACTTACATCATGGGTGGAGACGGCATAAAGAGTATAGAGGAGGAGCATGGGCAACTGATTCTCGAGGACGAGCATGTCTCGCCGAAGATGTGGGATGAGGTACAGCTTCCCGTGGTCGCTAAACACGGGATCCCAAGGGGCGTAGTCGTCCTTCCCAAGGCTATAATAAGCCGAAATTCCTGCTGTACGTAATATCTCCAGCATGAAACACCCGTCCTGAACCATAAGCCGCATGAAATCAGCATCTTTCTGCCACCACTGGACAGTTTCTTGATCATCATCGCTGGCTCCGTAACGACCTGGGCAGTCATATGCGTTTTTGAGATCTTGCACAAGCGGGGTGAGGGCGTGGAGGTATCGCTCCAAAGGTTTTCCCGATCTCCTGAGGAAGTGAACCAATGCCCGGTGTTTGTGTTCCTCCATCACCTTCAAATGGTCCGCCCCATAATGGTAAGGGCCTAAAGACACAACAAGTGGCTTGTATGCTTTCTTGTTCACTTCGGTGAAGGCTTGGGGGATTCTGTATATGCACCGCTTCTTCCACTGCCCCTCTTCCTCATCCTTGCCTGTGTCATTATTACTATTAGTGGCGGCGTTGTCCTCTGCCCGTCGTCTGACCGATTCTTCGTTCACCTTTATCACCCAGTCTCTCCACTTGCTATTTTCAGTTTCCATATGTATTACTTTGATTTGATTGATTAGGAAAGTAGGTATATCTGTGTCTATATGTACATATGGTATGTGTGTACTGTGTAGTCTTTATATATATGTAATGTGTGTGTGTGAAGGAAAGTAGCTTGGAAGTGATTCCTTACGTAATTGTGAAATGATTATCATCGTGGCCTGCTGGCCAGCATGCAGCCTGCAGGTTTTAATATAAAAAAGGTGGACGATTGCTCAAGATATCATGGATGTGTACTTATCAATTTATTCCTTCATCTATACTCCCTATTATATACGTAGTATGTGGAATTGGAACCTAGCTTGGAGTAAGAAAGTAATTCAAACTGTTCTGATAGTCAGCAAGTTTATAATTACTTATTATACAACATTGAAGCCTTATTCACAACATGATTGTTGATGGAGTATATATACAACAACAATAACAACATCAGGCCTTATTCAATTTTGGGGACGTTTAACATGAATCGATCCATGATATCAGAGTCTTAAAAGAAAAAAAGATAAGAAAAATAAAAAGATAAGATAAAGATAAAAGAACATAAGAAAGATAAAACATAAAAATAACATAAAACATAAGAAAAATAAAGAAAAATAGATGAGAAAAAGAGAAAAAAGAAATCAATTCTCCACATGAATTTTCACAGTTTGTTCTCTTTAAAGTCATATTCTCATTTTATCCAAGAAGAAACATATAAGTTCTGACTCCTCTAATTTAAGTCTGTTTGGGTCTTCCTCTGCCTCTCCTTTCCACCTCTTTTCTTCACCTTTCAATTCGTCTAACAGGTGCATCACCCAGTCTTCTATATATATGATCAAACCATCGCAATCGGGACTTCTACATCTTATCTTCTATATGTGTTACTTCAACCTTTTATCCGACTCTTTCATTCCTCAAGCGATCTTTTCTAGTATGTCTATACATTCAACACAAGATACCTATTTCCGATACATTCATCTTTTGATTGGGACATTATTTCACTGTCCAACACTCTACGTTATATGTGGACATAATTGTCAACCGATAAGTTTATAAACAATAAAACTAGATGGAATTATCTAATCTTTAAGCGAATAAACGAATTTAATTACATGTGTTACATTATTTAAATATACAGAAAATGACCTCAAATAGAAAAATTAGCTAGGACTTCTGCCTTTTCAAGCTGATTTATATTCTCATGTACGAGTTTATATCTAATGATTTATATATCAAGCTGATTAGCTGATTATGGATTGATAAAAGTTTGTGACTCATGAATAACTTCACAGAAAGTTTGAGTTTAACACGACATAGACTAATCAAACTTGAAATATCTATTCATAATCCAGTAATCCATTATCCATCGTTCAATCCGGTGGGTCGTATGTTACTGTAGTTACTAAGCAATATTTTTGTTTTTCACATTTTAAAGAGTAGTATTAATGATTTTTTTTCTAATTAAATTCAATTAAATTAATACGGAGTAATAATTATTAAGTGGAGAGAAAGTGCACGTACGTTCCTTTCTTGCAATGAGAGGCACAAGGGGGTGTCACAAGGGGTAAGTTTCGGTTCGAATCCCGTCAACTGCGATGAGAGATTATTACGCTAAAATGCATAGGACCTTTGCAAGTATCAGGGTCAGAGCCCAACTCTTTCTATTTATTGTTATTAAAGTTCAATTTACATCCTCTCATCTAACTGTTGGTCGGTGTTGGGAGCCCTTAGGAGTTGAGTCATCCTTTTGGAACGAGAGACACAATACGCCATCTGCTTTTGTTCGATATTAGTCCGGCAGATTTACCATGGAGGCTTGGATTGCTGCTAATCTAACTACATAACATATTCAAAGAGAAAATATCAAAAAAAAAAAAATTGGAAAAATTGATTGTAATAATCCCAACTATTGGCGGTCCGCTCATAATAATCGCAACTATCAATTATTTCAGAATAATCCCAACTTTAGGACCTTTCCGCCAATAACGGTCCGAGGTGACCGATTATAAATAAATTCTTATAGTTTCTAAAGAGATATAGTAGGTAATCCCTATAAATAATCTTGAATTTCAATTTTTACGCTTAATTTGTATTAAAAAATCACTTGTTAGAGCAGGTAATATGCAGTCATGGACCATTATTGGCGGACGGTCCATATAGTTAGGATTATACAATAATAATCAATAGTTGGGATTATTGTTAGCGGACCGGCAATAGTTGAGATTATTATTTTCAAATTTTCCATAAAAAATTAACATTCCTTCCTGAATTCTAATGGGATCAGTAATATTATATTTTGCAAAAAAATATTCATTGACTTCTAAAATAAGAAATTTTAATTTTTTTATTCTTAAATTAGGGATGAATAAGTCATATTTTGAGAATAAAATATATGGAGTAGGTAATTTCATTTGTCAGTTACTTCCGTTATTTACTACACCTATCATGGACGGTTTTTATATTTATTTTATATGGCCCTTCAAAAAAATTACTACGTATTTTATATGGATCAAGCATTGACGTATGTACTAATATTAGCCCAAGGGAGTCAAACTCATAGTATAATACTAGTACTACTTATAATGTTACCACAAAGCCATATCATGAATAATACAGAGTAGGCAATACCGTCGTCGGTTCTGGTCCTGGTTTCGATCCAACGGTTGGAACTAGGTGTATTCTCTTCACTCTTCAGTATATTGAATAGATCTAAACCCTAAATCCTTGGAACCGGACAAAACAAAACAAATGACTCGGATTCAGAACCAGTACCGGACTGACCGGGTATACCGAACCTGTCTGGACCGGGAATAACCTGGTCAAACTCGATCTTCTCATAATTTTGGCAAGGACCAAGTGATCTCGGCCCGGAACCGGGACTGGACCGACTCAGATCCATGTCTAATGCGGAGTATATCTTCTTCTTTTTTTTTTTTTTGGGGGGGGGGGGGGGGGGGGGGGGAGCTTGCGGCTTATATTGATATCAAAGCATTCAGCAAGGGAACAAGATAAAATAACCACTTCCAACCACCGACCCTCGAACCAGACTTTGAACCAATCACCTTGGAAAAAGCAATATGGCTCGCTGATCCTATAATGGGTCTAAATGAGCCTAACGTGGTTAAAATAGACCCTTCATCACCCCAACATAATGCAAGAGTGGCAAAAATAAGCGTGCATGACAAGCAAAACAACATATAGTTCGAAGTAAAAACACAAACAAAGTAAAACGGAACTAGAAATAGTCAAATAAACCCTATTCGCACAACTTCTCCATGGCGGCGGTTCAGGAGGGGAACGGATCAACATCTCTTCGTTTTCTTTCACCCTTTGGCTCCTGTTCGGAGCCTCTTCCTTGCCTGCGACCTCCTCGTTTGGAACCAGAACATCCTCATCACCCTTGAGAATCATGTTATCACAATTGTTGCTCATCTCCTCCATTTCCGCCTTGCTCTAAGACCCGCGAAGCGCCGATATTGCTCTCGACGAAAAAGCAGCACCCACGATGTCTTCTCACAACCCACACGTCCGAACAAAAAATAGATCTGCACAATGAAAACAAAGAAACCACCGGCCCAGGGCACCCTCACGCTAGACAAGAGCAGCACCGAAGACTCGACGACCCTTCCGCTTGTTTGCCAAAGACGACGGTGCACAGAAGGTGCCAAGTTCTCAAACCTTACGTGAGGGAGACGGCCGCTTCCAAAACTCTTATTCTCTTGTGAAATACTACGTTGCGGAGTATCTTTTATTATACAAAGGCAAAATAAAAACTGCACAGTGTTCCCACCCAAACACTGTGCAGTAATGGGCTGGGCCTGTTAAAATGAGTCCAAAATCGGGTCATGCTGAATCTGTATTTTGCTGCTCAGTGATTGTAAGTGCTGGCCCAGTGACCAATGCAGTTTTATTAGCTCAAGAAATTACTTTATTGTCTCAATGAAATAATGTTGAATAGAGTGCTGCAATTCTAATAAAAAATGCGGAGCATTGTACTCGAAATTCCACAGGCCACACACTTAGTCTTTTTGCCTTTCTTGAACCACACAACATTAAATACAATGCACTAGCTCTAATAGTAAATGGCAACTTCACATTTAATTGTGTGTGCCTTGACCAATGGTTATTACACAATTTGTTCTCCACCACTTCCTCCCTTTCCCAATATAAATACCCATTGCAGGCTTCAGAAACCACACCACAACCAAGCTAATCTCTTTTACATTCTCTGTATTTTCAAGTTTCCTAAGTAATTTGTGACCTTGATCAAGGATGTTGATCATACCAAGACCACTTGGGCCTTAAGGGTGCGGGTGGTCGGGGCATACGAAGTCCCACCTCACTCAAAAGGGAGGGCGTCACTCGATATGGTGTTGCATGATGAGCAGGTAGAAAAACATATTCACAGATTATAATTTTGATATAAAAAACATATAATATCATATTATCATATTATTATTATTATATTCACATTGCCCACATTTTGATATTTAGGGAGACCGCATTCACGCTATCATAAAAAGACCACATGTGGAGGTTTACAAGACCGGATCCAGGAAAACAAAATTTACGCTCTAAGGACGTTTTTGGTCCTGGACAACTACTAAACTGTCAAAACAAGTGACCATCCTTATCTGATTCAATTCATCAGCAAAACTCAATTCAGCGAAGACACTAGGATAGAGTTGCCAATGATGGTGTATGACTTTCAGCCATTTGACATGCTACAGACTCAACGAGTCGTCAACGACAAAAAATTAATTGCTGAGAACAACTGAAAACTTTTATGTTTTAATTTGCAGAAATAAATATCTTATGTTGGAATTTGGTTATAGATGTCATAGGGAAAGTCATATGTAAGAGCGGCGTTCAAAATCATATCATTAGCGGAAGAACCGAAAGGATGACGGAATTGACATTAGGAGACCCTGTGTGAGTTTTGTTTAAACATTTCCATACCATCTAAACTTAAGAGAGAAATGGTTATGGAGCATGAATAATATTTATTGTTAAATAACTTTTATAAATTGCAGAGGGAACAGACTCGGATGTGTGTTGTGGAACAAGTACATAGACCAGTATATGGAGTATGTGACCGAGAATGTTGATGTGCCTGTGTATGTAATTTTTCAGCTATGCAGGCCAAAGAGATACCAATGTAATCCCTTTTGTAGGGATGT